GACAAACGACGCGGCGCGGCGAGGCGAGGCAAAAGTGCCGCAGCGGGCGGCGTAAGTGACGCGGCGGCGACGGCGGCGGCGGCGGTGGTGGGTCAGGTAACGCCTGAACGTGACCCAGACAGGCGCCGACGGCGGCCGAGGCGCGCCGCTGTAACGGGACCTCCTGTGTGCACACAGTACTGCCGCACCGGCCCGACACGCCTCCAACTCACGTCTCAACTCACGTCTCCGTCTCAACTCACGTCTCAACTCACGTCTCGACCCACGCCTCCAACTCACGCCTGACGCACTCACGGCGTGAGGTGGAGGAGGCGCCGAGCGGAGGTGACGCCTCGGAAAGTGGAGCGGCGGAGCCGGAGGTGTCCGGTCGAGGACTAATTACTCGCGCTGGGATGGTCCGCGGGACCGCTGCACACTGGTCGGAAACGCCCTCACGAGAGGCCACGGGCGATTCCGGAGTTTCGGATTATTTTCTATATAGATCGATTTGAAATTGATCAAATTATTATACTTAGGCCAAAAAAACTAATCCGGGTGACCAAAAATAACTGTAATCAGCCCCCGAAGATGGGGTATCCCAGAACTCGGAAACTGACGCGGAGCAAGAGGTTTCTTGAGCCGGATATTCAGAGTCTTATTGCTGATAGACACCAAATTGAAATCCCACATATCATGCATCAAAATGTTCGTTATGAAGTTGCCGACTGGTCAGTGCAAAATTTTTGGCATACTTTTTCCCTAACTAAGATGTACTGTAGCTTTTTTATGAAGGCTCTCCTACAGTGATTCTGGAATATAACTGCAAAGTTTAGGTAAGGAAACAACAGGTAGTCCCATCTAGTTCCACTCTGATTTTTTGTGAGATGAAGCAGGATTTAAATTCACACCAGGGCAACATAAAAGCTAACTGCGCATATTTGCGCAAAATTTGCAGGAGCCGCTTTTCCTATCCAACTACCGCCCGCCCCGCCCCAGTTTCGGCACGGCCGCCGCGCCCGGCTTACGCTGACCTGTGTGGCCTGCACGCATCCATGCGTAGTTGACTGGTCATTAAAAGCAGATGCGCTTGAGTTTATGAATTTTGTGAAAAGCGCGTTTTATGTATGCATTTATGTATGCATTGACATCAAAAGCCTTCCACATATTGCGTGGCGATTACGGCTTGCATTTAGAAAGCCTTGCTATTGACAACCATCACTCGGCTGAAGAAAGTGGAAATTGAAACCTTCGTGAATATAAGACGCTGCAAATATAGGACACCTGTCACTGACGTCGGGTTACCTTGGGCCGTCTTTTTACATTAGATCACAATTCCGGTATTTAACCCTGGCCGGACCGATTGGTTTTCTATATTGACCGGGGAGGGTTGGTATAACTCCCTCGCCGTTTCGCCTCTAATTGAGCTAGAGCCTCGCGGAAAAAACAAGCTCGTGTGCCGTTATAAGACGCAACAATTAGGTACTACCCGATTTTAAGGTCTTAGGTCAGCCAGTGACCTCTTAGGTCAGGTAAGTGCCACAAGGCACGGGCTCGGTTTTAGGTTAATTACTTTGCCAAAAATGGTCGCACTGCCGCGATTTTGACATCGTCGTGTTTGTCTAGCTCAGGCGCGTTGAATGCTATACTTGGTGCTCGGGTGAAGTCAACTTAAGGTGTTAACCTCGGGTCAAGATCAGGTCAAAGCCCCTCAGGTCACGAAAATGGTTGAAGGAGGTCATATCGCATATCATTCGATTCGGCAGGTCTTCCTGAGTCCAATGGTGGCTTTCACGACTCTCTAGCTCCATCTGATCAGGAGTTATTGACGAAAAACTTATATGACCTTAGTGACGTCATAAATGACGTCACGCAAAGTCAACAATGCTAAAGTGAAGCACTGGACCTTGCAAGGAGTGCATGAAACCATTCCCGGTCCCCGAATAGCAGCTCCCAATTTCCCTTGTTGACTTAAAGTGGTGCTAGATCCTGTATTATGCTCAATAATGACGTCATAACTTAACAGATTCACGTCATATATTTAGTGCTTGACATCCAAATGATAGCTTACATATGACAGAGAAGGTATGCAAAGTTTTATGAAGTTTGCTTCACTAGTTGTGGAATAACAAGCAAAAAACTTTTGCGGAAAGGCCGCTGGCCTCTCGCTGGAGCGTTTCCGACCAGTGTGCGCTGGAGCGGTAAAGTCGGTTTGACAGCGGGAGGTTGGAGCGACACTTCTGATGTAGCCAGCGCTAGAGTGAGGAATATGATGCTGGACGAGCGCGACTGCGACGACATCGTCCTCTGCAGAAGCTCTGAGTGGTGTAAATTGATTATTTTTCTTTTTGTCATTTCCTACCAGCCACCAGGCGTTATTTGACAGGGTGGCATTTCATTCCTTTTCAACTGACTCAGCCCCGTTAACTTTCCCTCGATAACCGACGGCATTGCCAATCGCCACTGCTAGCCCACGACGATTCTATCATTCTGTCGCCCCGTGAGACTCTCCCGAACGCTGCGGTAGTCATACGAGACATCCCGAAATCGGAGAGGCGTCAGCCCCCCTACCGCTCCAGCTGGGATGATGAGGGGGGGGGGGGCAGAGGGATAGGGGGAGAGCGTGGGAACAGACGTTCCGTGACTGCTCCGTGTTTGATCATGCAATCAAAGAACGGCAGATTTGTCGAAATCGCGAGGCTTACTGACCGATATCTCAATCTCAATAATGGTAGGGTGATGGAAATTGCGACCGAATTCGAGATTCGCAATAAGGCAGCATCGAATGTTGGAAATGGGAATGGAAGATCTTTGCAGCCGCATGACTGGAGATATTTGTTACAAAAAGGTACCTAGAAGTTAGAACGATGGCAGATACCATCAATAATCGATATTGTTTGGCCCAAGTAAAGCCCAATTGCGCATGATGCTTGCTGATTCATGTTTTTAGCCGAAAAGTCGGCTGCGGGACTCACCTTCGTCCGCTGACTCCGGCCAGGTTATATCCATCTCCAAAGCAGAGCGCCGTTCTCTGCGGTGAGCCGGGAGGCGCCACGTACGGACACCGTCCTGACGACGGCAGCGGCGGCGGGGGCGGCGGCGGCGGCGGCGGAGGTGGAGGAGGACCCCGCGTCGCCCCGTGCGGGAGTGTCGAGTAGGGCGGCGGCACGGGCGGCGCCTGCCCGTGGCTGGTGGGCCCGTGCGGCGGCACGTGCGAGTTGAGCAGGTCGGGCAGCTGCGGCGGCGCTCCGCCGGCCGGCGGCTGCGGCGGCGGCGCCCGGCGCTCCCGTCGCTCGCGGCGCTCGCGGCGCCGCTGCTCGCGCGATGGCTCCGGCGCGGCCGGCGCCTCCGTCTGCGTGTCCATGGAGCGGCGCTGCGGGGGAGTGCGCGGCGCGGGCGCCGCCGGAGGGCCGCGCACCGTGCCGGCTCCCACCGAGCTGGTGTCACTGGAGGCCGTCTGGTTGGCAATGTGTACGATCGGCACGATGTGTACGTCAGAGACGGGTCGACTGCTGATGGAGACCGCACTGACGCTGACGGCAGCACTCACAGCCGCGCTGCTGGTCGGAGGCACACTCAGCGTCAGGTCGTGCGCGCGACGCGGCGAACGGAGCACGGCCACGTCCGCCATGGCACGTCTCAACACGTCACGGCACGGCAGGTGATCACAACCGGGCCCGCTGGTCACTCACACAGGCCTCCCGGAGAGCACATTCACGAGGAGCTGAGGCACACGCCCTCACCCCACCGTATCCATCGGCCGACTGGCGGCGGCCGCCGGCGGCGCACCGGCGCTCGCCAGCTGACTGCCAACGACAGATCCGCGGGGACGAGTCGCCGGCTTCGGCTTTGGTACCCTGTAAAGGACAAAGTAGGAGACAGTACGGCGAATTGAGAAGTTAAAGACCACAGCAGCGGCCAGCAGCGAGGCGACGCGGCACGAAGTTTTGATCGGGCGGTACTGGTGGGGGTGGGAGGGAGGGGAGAGGCAGCTGTCCACTGTTGTGGTCAAGCGGGGGAGGGTTGCGATCAAAGGGGAGGGTAGACCAGTCGCACCAAAGCCGGCATCAGTATCAATGCGCCCTACTAACTGAGCCCCAATGATTGTGTGCCAGCCGACGTACCGTCAAGTGTGCACGCACACACCGGCACGCGATTTTGGCAGGTGCCCCGGCCGACCACGGTGTGTGTATAGCACAGTTTGGCTAGGCTGTCCTACATACCTTGTTCCCGTGTCAGGGCCTTTGATTTGACTTGCAGCCTGTAGCCTGTACGACAGAGGTATTTGGTCAAGGAACATACACACGTCAAATAGAACATAGGTACGGATTGCGGGTCTCAAAATCAGGACAGCATATGGGGAATTAAGTCACGGTTGAACAGGTCACAGTGGTTAAATAATGGCCGCGACTTTTTCAATTGCTTCACTCTCAGTTTTGCACTAAGCCGACCTGTGGCAAGGTTTTCGTGAAACAAGTTTTCGTGTTTATAGTTTTCTGCTTTCCCCCTCGTCTTCTTTTAGAACGGACTGATACGTAACGATTTTACGCCTGGCATGGATGGAAAAAAATTGCAAGGGGGTCGCTGACTTAGCCTCATACCCCGTGAATCCACAAATGTTCGCACGGACTACGGGGGTCAACAGTCACGTCCGCTCAGTAGCGGGGAGGCGGAGGCGTTACGCCCCTTTTCAAAGAATGTCGCAATGAAAACCACCGACTGCATTGTCATGTAGGTACTGAAAGTCCCAGCAGTGCTCACAATCCAGTCAATCATGTTTCAGTCACAAATTATTTATACAGACAAGGTGATTCAGCGAATAAGTAATCTCACCGCCCCCCGCCCCCCCAAAAAAACATCAGCAAGATGTTTTGAAACGAGCCTCTCGTCTAGCCATCAGTCATCACATGCCCCATGTATCATCATTGAGTAGAAAGCTTTTAGGAGCTTTATCTCATAAATGCTGCTTATAAACAGCACCACAATAAATAGGTTCATGATTTCAGTAAGTCAAAATGCGGAAATCGTGTGAAATGCTACTGTATTCATCAGACAAAACACGGAAACATATTATCAGGCGTCAAAACATGAATCAGTAACGTGAAATAATTTCTCTTATATCTTGGTAGCAGTGATCGGGATAAGAAACAGTCACAAGCAAATGAAGAGTCTTCGAAACTCACTATGATGAAGTACACACATGAGCATTGTACAATGTACATGACGGCAATGGATAGAAGCAGGAAGACGATACATTTCTATGACGAGGCGCAACACATCCATGGCTGTTCTGAGCTAACCTCCACCAGCATCTACACGGCGCGTAAGAAGACAGGCGTTACTACTTCCTTTCATCCAACCTATGATTACGCTGTCTACCGTACAAACTTTGAGACCATTGGTCCACGCCACAGACAAAGACATGCCACTTCTTGCCGTCGAGTTAGAGCTTACTAAGTATTGACAACATCATAAAAAGTGGACTTCATCTAGCCTCCCTCCCCCCCCCCCCTCCTCCGTCGGCACGTTCCTCTATGGTCGCCGTTTTCATTACCGAGCCCTCCGCTTGCGTGTCGGCTTCTTGGCGAGGGCTTCCAGCTGCTTCCGCACTTCAGTTGCGTCCGTTTTAAATTCCTCGATCATGTCTGAGCTCAACGCCCTCTGGAACAACGGACAGAGGGTGTGAGTGGGGGGAGGAGAGAGAGAGAGAGAGAGAGAGAGAGAGAGAGAGAGAGAGAGAGAGAGAGAGACAGACAGACAGACAGAGACAGAGAGAGAGAGACAAAGACAGAGAGAGAGAGAGAGAGAGAGAGAGAGAGAGAGAGAGAGAGAGTGAGAGTGAGAGAGTGAGAGACAGAGAGAGAGAGAGAGAGAGAGTGAGAGAGAGAGAGAGAGTGAGAGAGAGAGAGAGTGAGTGAGAGTGAGAGAGTGAGAGAGAGTGAGAGAGAGAGAGAGTGAGAGAGAGAGAGAGAGAGTGAGAGAGTGAGAGTGAGAGTGAGAGAGAGTGAGAGAGTGAGAGAGTGAGAGAGAGAGTGAGAGAGAGTGAGAGAGAGTGAGAGAAAGTGAGAGAGAGAGAGAGAGAGAGCGAGAGAGAGAGATAGAGAGAGAGAGAGAGAGTGAGTGAGAGTGAGAGAGTGAGTGAGAGTGAGAGAGTGAGAGAGTGAGAGTGAGAGAGAGAGTGAGAATGAGAGAGAGAGAGTGAGAGAGTGAGAGAGTGAGAGAGAGAGAGTGAGAGAGAGTGAGAGAAAGTGAGTGAGAGAGTGAGAGAGAGAGAGAGAGAGAGAGAGAGAGAGAGAGAGAGAGAGAGAGAGAGAGAGAGAGAGAGAGAGAGAGAGAGAGAGAGAGAGAGAGAGAGAGAGAGAGAGAGAGAGAGAGAGAGAGAGAGAGACGGTCCAATCTCAGAGAGACGAAGCGCTCAGTCAGTCTCCCGTCTCGGAACCCAAAACGCCTCTGAAATACTACACCTTTTTAGGCGCAATTTCAAAAATTTAAAGACCAAATTCAAAAAGTTTACATTCAAAATGCACATGAACGTTTTGAATTTGGTCTTTAACTTTTTGAAATTGCGCCTAAAATGCTGTAGACAGGCAGGTTAGTATCAAAACTGGCAAACTGGGAGCAACATGGTCAATGGGGGAGGACAGGGAGACGATGCGATTGCCTTCCTTCCCAGCTGTCACCTACCACCCTCTCTGCCTCCCGTCCTGTCAGCTACCACTCTCTCTGCCTCCCGTTCCCGAACCCCCTCTCTGTCTCCACTCCCGTCACTTACCACTCTCTCCGTCTGTTGAAAGTTGATCAATTTCAGCATGTCCTCCACAGTGAGCTGCGAGGCCGGCTTGCCGAGCTTGGCCAGAGGACACTTGGCGGTGTGGTAGCGCGCCTCCCTGGTCAACACACGGGGAAATATGTGAGACTGAGCACCGTTACAGAATCCAGCTGACGATGATGCCTCATTTCAGTCATCAAGGGTTACATCCACAGAACAGACAGATTGGGTTGAATGTTTTTGGTCTAAACATTTTACATTTATCTATGGGTACTGGTTGTTTAGTAAGTTAGGCTCATTCAGTCTAATGAGGCCATTTCAGAGCCGGAAGGATGATAGGAATTAGGGGGAGACATGGGGGGGGGGGGGCGACTGCAAGGTCATTTTTCGGGGAAGACATTGGTCTGGGCGGGCACCCTAGTGAGTCGCCGGGGCTGAGCCCGTCCAGACGACAGGCCACCCAGCCCCCCAGCACCAACTGCCCCAACTACACTAGCTGCACCCCATGCGGTTCCTATGGGAGCCGCAAGGGATACAGTTGCCCATCCGGCCCGCAACAGTGGGTTGAGGGGTGAAGGAGAAGGATTTGACTGTCCTGAGGATGGAAAAGACTGAACGGTGTGACGGGGGTCGTTGGCAATATATGTTTACGCCCACATATACATCAGCTGCAGGCGCGAGTGAACAGCTCTCCACACTCGACTTTTCACGTTTTACTTGAATAGGACCAGTTTGTTTATTTGAGTGTGGGGGCATATTGGCATCACGGTGATTGTGCCCCCGCGGGTCGGCCTGCCGGTGACCCCCACGGACTCACATGGGGTTATCCTCGGCCTCCCAGCCCTCCATCTCCTTGTGGCAGACAAAGCAGCGCGTTAGATCGGGCTCCTCATCGCCACCGCAGCGGAAAAACCCGCTCTCCGCCATCTGTCGGACAAAACACGAACTTCAGCTTCACCACATTGGACACAGGGCAGCAAAACTGGAGGGTGTATTTAGAAGCTAAGAGCTGCAGCGGGATGTCAAATAAAACAACTAATGATGATGTGAGAATTAGAAAGAATCAACATTGGATTCTACACAGAATATAATCAACCACATATAGTTCTTCTGAATGCTTGAGACGAGGTGTTAGTATCACTGATGTTAGTTGTCGGACTTTCGTCCCGTCTTGAGTTGACGTCCTTCTAAGGGCCAGAGAACACCTGACGACGGCCGGAGAAGTAACTGGCCGAAACGTTGTGAAAATAACATCTCAACTCAAGACGGGGACGAAAGTCCGACAACTAACATCAGTGATAATCAACCACATCATCCATATCCTATTACACAGGATTGGCACACTTGTGTGCAATCTGTTTCAGTCCCAACTCTTAACTAAATTAGCATGGGAAATGGAAGCCATGAGTGGGAAATGAAAAGTCCTTGAAATCTTAGCAAGATATTATGGACACAATTTAGCAAGAGATAATACACAAAGCAATGTTTACTTGACAGCCCTAGGCAGGCAAAATATTTATACATTTGACTTCCCAACTTCAGGAATTGTTCACAATGCCCCTTTAAAAACACTGTCATACTTTAACCCTCCCCAAAACATCATGATCTGATTTAGCCCCTTTCGACACTACGAGTCACCTTGCTGAAGCCACTTAACATTTCCCAGCACGTCTCACCTTCCTGGCTGTGCACACACAGCCCGGCTCATTCTCCACCAGCCACTCCTTGAACGTGGCCAGACGGCCGTCCAGCCGGTTCATCGTCGGTTCGACCAGCATCGTGACAGCAGTCTGAAAAACAGAGGAAGATGGTGAGGCGGGCCTTCCTGGCGGTAGAAAATGGTCAATTGTTGGCTGCACTCAGTCATTGGGTGTGAATTTTGTGACTAATTTATATCACTTCCAACTAGGGTCAGAGGGCTGCAGGGCTGGGCTCCACGTGTTCTCCCATCATAACTGCTGACAAATGACTATGACGCATGCTTTCAGCATGATTAGTTCAAAATCTAGCCTAAATATGGACCCAGGTCTGTCACAAAATATCATATTAACATCAATATTTTATCTTTTAAGAGACAAACCAATGGTTCAATCAGCATCACTACCTATTACTCTGATTAAAAAAAGGTTGATGAAATGGTGGTAAAAAGTGTGACGCCTGCAATTATGACTACACAAAAAGTAGGGCACTTATGTGACATTTTCAAGCAAGGCCATATCAATATACACATCTGCCATTAATTAATCTGTTTTCATAGAAATGAAAATTACCATCCACAACTCATCTACTATGCTTTGTGATTTTGATATTATTGTGCGTTTATGGCGCACTATAATGAATTTGCCGCCACATATGGTAGCACAATTTGAACAATTGCTTCCACATGAAAAGAAACCTTTCTTTAGGAATTCAAAAAGGAATAGATTTGGTTTTAGCAAATGACGCATAAGCTTAGTAATTTTGTCGAAATCACTTACAGCAGTATGCTTGGTAACTCCCTCATCTTTTTTATTGGTCGTGCGTGCTTACAAGTAGCTAATAGAAATCGTTGGGTTGAAAAGACCTGCTTTAGCGGCCCTGGCGGCAAGGAAGAAAACTATTAGTTTCTGTACGCCGCCAGAGGGCCAAGTACGACTGGTTGTGGTTGGAAGGTGGTTGGAAGATGGCTGGAAGCCTGCAGCAAAAGCAATGGACCCATTGACCAATGCCGTACAAGAGATAGACTGAACTGAAAATTGAATCTAAAATGACACTCATCTCAAGCTGTTTAATCCCAATCTTCTTATGGAAGATCACGAGCTACACAAGTGGCCATTAGCCTCTGCTTTTTGTTTTGCTGGCCGGAGGTCCATAGCATAGACAATATCATAACCGTGTGATGGGGAGGCGCCGGTCGCGGGTCGAGACATTGGGCTCCGAAGCCCGATTCGACCGCTGACTGGCGTGTTACGGTAGCTGAACCAGTCTCGATGGGTCGGGCTACCTAGACTGAAACTTTCATTCGAGATGGTCCTGCTCCTTTCCAATCTGTCCACATGTAGCGTGGCAAGGCGACCGGGACTCAGCGCACGGGCAGAAAAATGTGGACAAGGGTTTCATCCGGATGGGTATTTCTGAGGACAGATTTCAGAAGCTCAGAACATCCAGCCTCAGCGTGTATTCGGCAAGAAATCCTGCAAAGGCAAGAGCTCACAAGTTCCCGGCACGAGATATGTTCACAGTTCTTTTTCATAATAAGACCGTCATCTTCCCGTTGGAGATTCGGCGAGCATTTATTACAAATAATTCATCACAAGCTAGACAGACAGCCTCCGAGATAGGCTCGATGACATCGGTACGGTTCATATATGACGAATAAGCACCTCCAAGAAAGCGGTGGCTTCCCCGGACCTCCAAAGCCAACGCCGACATCCAGCGCTGCGGCTGAAGCGAAGAACCGGCGCTGCTTGTTCTGACGTCATCAGGCCGTAGTGACGTCACATAGTGGGCGGGGCCTAGCCGCCCCGGACCAGAAGCAAAAGGGCGTCCTTGTAGGGTCCCGAAGTCTCGCTCTGAAAGAGAAACAGAGAATATTAGCGCACAAGCGTTTACAAGCATTTACCTACAGCCGGGTAGTGCGTGTTTTGTTTCGGCATAGCATTTTGTTTTTTATTTCAGATTACTTCCCCCATTCCTGCTTCAACGTCATCCCTCCCCCCCCCCCCCCAGGCCCGTTCATTATATATCGACGCCTTTTTTTAATCCCCACATCTACTCTCCCGTGAATTTCCGGGAGGCACGAAAGATCTCCTTTTAAAAGTGTCCAATCGTCCGATCCTGATCAAATATGTGTGTTCGTAGGCCTGTTCTGGTATTGCTTTATCTGCCAAGACAGAAAAACTTGAGAAAAATCGAGTGATTGTACATTTTTTGAAGGTCTCTAACCAACTTGTCTGAAATTCACCGGAAAATAAATGTGGGGTTTAAAAAAAGGTGTCGATATTACCGCAATCTTTCTGCATATTTCTAGACGTGTATCGCCCATCAGCTGTATTGTACTGTTTATCGGCGTCTCCCCATTCAAGTCACTAACTCTCTTTTCCCGGAGTCTCTAAATCCATTCCACACTTCGCCCATCCTTCCTAATCCCCATTGGGTCTGTTCCAGTCGCACAACCTAACACATCTTAACTCCTCCAAGATTGCTTCCCTGTTCCAGTGGCAGCTCTAGTCCCTACAAAGCCAAGGAGGGTCCTGCTCCAACCTCCTCTATCTTGCTCTTGGAGGAGTTTAGAGGTGTTAGGAAGTGCGACTGGAACAGACCCAATGTCATCTCATATTTTTGCCAATCCTTCACGCTATACCTCTCCTCCACACTGTAATGGACTCGTCCACCTAACCTCCCCCACCTCACCTCAATGGAATGGTCCAGCGTTTTTCCGTACTTTTCCAAGTACTTCTCCTTGATGTCGCCCAGATCGAGCTCACTACGGGAGAGGACCAGTCGGATCAGTGTCTTATCGTCGGTGCCGGCTCCCTGCATACAGTTGTACAGGAGGTCGGCATAGTAGCCGGTCTTGTCCTTGGCCACCTCCACTGGAAAGAGCAGGGGGGGGGGGGAGGTCAGTGGGCGTGGTAGGGGAAGAAGTGGGGGGGGGGGTGTTGGCTGATCTGCTATCGTTACTGTTGTAACAGGGAAACAGCTGCATGCTAGGAGGACTGAGCTGTTTTGTATGCCACTGTTTTGATGAAACCTCTAGCCTTTTGAAACCTACCTACTTTATATTTTTGTAAGCTAGCAACAATCATTTCAATGCCTCGTAGACTGTCAAACAGTGTAGCGATGACAACAACAGCATAGGCGTTCACTCATAAATCTCGTCACATCCGCCTGTATCAGCAGTAATAAATAAAAACCGTTAACCCATTCCATTGCCATCAGCCCTCAACGCAATCGACAGTAACATCGCTTCCGTCATCATCCCTCTCATCAGAGACTCACGGATAATGAGGAGGGCGTCGCGGAAGTCGCCGCCCATTTCCGACTCGATAGCCTCTGCTAGGGACCTGGAAAATACGGCAGACAGGACGGCAGGTTACCAGATGAGATTATATAGCACGGCGACGCAACAAAAACTAGAAAATATAACAGATGACACAAGCAACTGAAAGGATTTAGAAACCGCACAATTGATTACAAAACCAAGTTCTAAGAAATGGGCAATAGTAACAATGTGAACGCACCCAAGGCATGCAGCGAGCTTCTGTCAAGTCATATATCGAAACCAAAGATGAAGCAACTTATGAATGTAAACTCTCAACACAGCGTACAACGCATATGTTGATTTAACTAACATCATCCTACGAGAGCCTAACAATAAATCAAAATATTATATATTCACTTCCGTCTGTCCCAGTTCTCCGTATGCCTGATCGTCTGGCCTTTTCGTTTCGGAAACTTGTGAAGATTTCCTCGTACTCCTGTGCGATTGCCATCACGGGAGTTCGAGTGAGTAGGAGAAGGGAGTGTGGGATGGGGGCAGCCGTGGTGCTCTAAAACTCTCACCTTTTGGAGATCTCCTCGTACTCCTGGGCGATAGCCATCAGCTGCGGCAGACTCTCGTGTGAAAACAGCTGACGAAACACGGCCTCGTTGGTACCCCACTTGTTCTCGCCTGGGGGGGGGGGGGGGGGGTCAACCGGGAGTCATCGACGGAGTCACACTACATTTTTCTAAAGCTCGTCATATATTTAATCGGAGTTGTAAAGTTCCTACCGCCAACCTACCTACGTCTCTTGAGTCCTGAACTCCCAGCAATACCTCTGACAGAAGTACCGCTCTTAAAGGCGAAGTTCCAACCACCTTTATATTCTTCCACTCCATCTTAGCGGGTTGAGTTTGCACTTTGCAGCATCCCCTACCGTCATTGCAGAGGTCCTACTAAGCCCTCAACATACCCATTCCCTTGCCTACCAAGCAGCAGTTTGTAATGCATACGTAAATGTCGCAACTCATAGTCATGTCCTTCCCCCGTAGCTTCAGCGGAATTTGCATTGCCGCTACCTCTAACCAGCGATGTAGATGCCTTGACTGGTGAACCCCAAAATATCTTCTCACATGCATGTTAAAATATCATCACATGCAAAATTATATCATCCCATCTGATCCAGCACGCCACCCATGAAACTGTACTGTCCGCCCTTACCAGCGTTGTAGAGGTCCTGCGCCTGTTGCTGGGCCTTGGCGTTATCCACGTCTCCGATCTCATCTCTACTGTCGTTGAGCAGCGCGACCAGCAGTTTCTCCAGGTCACCATCCGACTCACCACGGATATCCTCTTCCAGTGAGCTGTGACACGCTGAAAGGCGCAGGGGGTGAGTGGTGGAGGTCACTTAGAGCGAGCTGTGACACGCTGAAAGGGGCAGGGGTGAATGGTGTATGTCCAGTTTAGGATTTTAGGAATGAAGGAATGGTTGAAAATCTCCATGGTACGGCTGGCTATCACCAGGGCTGTGCACGAGATCAGCGAGGAGACATACGGAAAAGCCATCGAGGTCTGTTTTAAAAAGAGTGGAGCTGTGCCTCGTACAAAACGGGGAGCACTTTGAGCACGTGCTCTGCATGAGCAAACGATGTCCGCGTGGATCGTGACACGTCTCACCTAAAATAAAACAATTTTTGCTACATTATGGTGTCTTGCACTTGACCATTTGTCGAAGGTCTCAAAAGTTATGGCGGATAAAAAAGTGTCAGATGTATAGGAGACACCCTGTTAGAGGCCACTTAGGGCGAGGGCAGGGGTGATTGGTGGGGGCCACTTAGGGCTGGCTGTGACACTGGCTACAAGGGGAGCAGGACGACTGGTTTAAAGAGATGCTAATGCAACAACCTGAAAACGTACTATAGAATGATACCTAGATACGAGAGGGCAATATTACTCGCTAGGTGGTCAAAACCAGCTTGTACTGTAACCTCCAAGGCACACATGTCAGCAATACCCACTCATCGTCCTTTTTACTTTGAAAGCAACAGTGCCACAATCTTTTTTTTTGACACTTAAGATCTTTATACGGCCTTGCTTAGGATATTAAATACAGATCGTCGCACACTTCCATATAAATTTACAAGAAGCGTAAGTCTCTCATTTTCCCTCCCATACCTATACATGATCAAAAAAGGTAAACTTCAAATTCTAGCCGGACACTTACAAAGTGGCTTTGCGTTTAATTTCACACGGCAATTCAACAGCCCATCTGCTCGTGGACACTTACTGTTGGCGTACGCTTCCTTCAGCAGCTGCAGCTCGGAGTTGTTACGCGACAGGATGATCTCGTT